GGTTCCCCCACTCAGCACCTGATCTATTTCAAGTCCTATTTGGGAGTGATCTCTAGCAACGAGCCTCTGATGGTCCGATTATTTGTTGGCACCCTTCGCGGGCCCGCCTTCGATTGGTACCGCCGCCTCAAGCCCGGAAGCATCAATAGCTGGGAGGACCTGGAAAGCATGTTCCTCGCTCATTTCTTCGATGATGACGCCGAAGTGTCGATCAGGACACTCTTCGAACCTTCATCAAACGCTTTCACAATCAGGCAATGAACTGCAAGGATCCCGTCACGGAGGAATTCGTCTTGCAGACTTGTCATAACAACTTGTCCATTAATATCTTGGACGTTATGGGAGTAGAGCCGCTCAATACCTGGAGAGAGTTGAAGGCGCGCGTAGAGCAGACCGAACGATTCCTTAGAAGAAGGAAGGTTGAAAGATGCCAACCGATGACTAACCCTCTGAATCCGGGTCTCGTTTCCCATAATAAAAGGAAGACACCTACAACAGTTGTTGACGTTAATCAGACATCGCAACAGTAGTCCCGAAGACAGCAGAATAGTTCGGATCCGAGGCTCCAAAAAGAGTACTCATTCAAGGACGAAGACGTTCCAGCCATCTTCGAGACCCTTCTTGAAAACAACAAGATCAACCTGCCGCCCATCACAAATCAGGAGGAAGCGGACGATACTGCAGATCCGAAGTACTGCGCGTACCACAGGAGGATCCTTCATCCCACCAAGGCTTGCTTTACTTTAAAGAATAGCATCCAAACATTGGTTGAAGCCGGCGTCATAACGCTAGGATAAGCCAAATAAGAACGGCAATACTCCAAAGAGTATACGAGTATAAATTGCTTCTCAATCCTCCAATCGGTATATGAGGTTAAACTGCTCCCTTATACTCCGATAGGTATATGAGTCTAAACTGTTTCCTACCGTTGATGGAAAGTTCCTGGAGAATGTTACGCTAATATTCTTAAGGATAACTCGGACATGTGACGGAGTACAAAGTCAGGCCCAGTTCCAAGAAAGAAGCTGGGGGTGGATGATTCATATAATGGGAAGTTCCCAGAAGAACGCTATATGTAATTTTCTTAGGGATAACCCGATAATTACAAACAAAGTGATAAACACTAAACCCCCACTATGATTTGTACTCCCACTCTCACTGTCTACCTAGTCAAACCTTCCTATAGTTAGGAGCACAACCAAAGTCCCCTCTCGATTCCTTCCATGAACGAGAGGTCCACTTTCAAATTGAACGATCAAGCCTATAAAAGGTAAGATCGTCTCAAACCTCCCACTTTCACTGCTTCCTTGGTCAACCCTATAAAAGTTAGGGCCATAACCAGATTCTCCTCTCGATTCCTTTCATGAACGAGAGGTCCACTTTCAATTGAGCAATCAAACCTATAAAAGTTAGGATTGTCTCCAGCTTCACTTAGTCAAACCTGCAGATAGTTAGGACTAAGATTGAGTTATCCCTTTCGATAAACGAAAGACTTCCATCTTTTCCTTTTTCAGCCAAACCTATAAAAGTTAGGGTCTAAATCGGAATTTCCCTCAATAAATAAGGAACTCTTTTCTTAGATCAAGCAACCAATCCTATAAAAGCTAGGGTTACTTGAATCTTTCCGATTCTCGGAGTGGAGATCCCACTCCTAGTTTTATCTTTTCGGATTCTGGGGGTGGAGATCCCACTTCGAGTTTCCTTTCCAACTAAAGATAGAATATAAAATTCTTTCTCTTCGGTGCTGGGAGAAAGAATATAAAATTCTTCCTCTTCCATTTTCCAGTCCGTCTTTACCCTGAGAAAAGACACGATTCCCAACTTTAAATTCGTACATTCCATGCACGGAGAATTTTATCTCAACTCCTAAATAGAGATAAGCCTACGCCTAACACGCGTTGCCGGTTTAGTCTTTCACCGATTGAAAATGACACCAGAGTACAATTCTGGGGACTTTCATCCCGAATCCTAAGTAGGGATGAGTCAACGCCTAATACGCGTTGCCGGATGCCATATTCCCATAAGAAATGGCGAAGTCTATGTATTCAAAATCATAGCATTAAGTCTAAGAGAAGCAATTCTCTTAGCACAACGTTACATGTGAAACGGGTTTTAATAATTCACATGTAAGCCCGATTCAAACGGTAATTGGTAAAGGCACGTCAAACCCGTTGATGGCTGGGGGTTTGCCAAAAATCCTAAAGTCTATGTCTAACACGCATTGCCGGTTAGTCTTTGACTGTAAAAAGGACAAAAGCCCACATATTCAATATTGTGGCAGGTTGTTATTAATAACGCCAAAATTTGTGCTTCACACGCACGGGGAATTTTATCCCGAAGCCTAAGCAGGGATAAGCCAACGCCTAATACGCGTTGTCGGTTTAGTCTTTTACCGATTGAAGAAGACACCAGAATCCGAGTCTGGGACTTTTATCCTGAATCCTAAGTAAGGATAAGTCAGCGCCTAACACGCGTTGCCGGGTAGCCTGTTCCCGTAACAATGGCGAAGTCTACGTATTCGAAGTCGTAGCATCAAGTCTAAGGGAGTTCATTCCTTTAGCGGGTAGCCTATTCCCGTAACAATGGCGAAGTCTCGGTAATCGGTAAGAGCACGTCAAATCCGTTGAGGGCTGAGGATTTGCCAAAAATCCTAAGTCAACGTCTGATACACGTCGCTGTTTAGTCTTTTCACAGGAGAAAGACGAAGTCTACGTATTCAATATCGTAGCACTAAAAGGGTTAACTCTTTTAGCTTAACGTCACATGCAGAACGGACTTAAACAATCTGCATGCTAGCCCGACTCAAACGGTAGTCGGTAAAGGCCCATCAAACCCATTGATGGCTGGGGATTTGCTAAAAATTCTATAAATACGAGTCATTGACGCACCAGCTCCATTAGTTGGTCTCGTGGCTTGAGCATCCAACAACTTCAGGATAAAATCTATACATGCAGATGAATCAGCTTTAACAGTTAGTCCGGCAGTCCCGACACTTGGGACCGCCGTGCTCCAATACCTTAAGAGCTTAAACTGTGTATACTCCAGTTAACGTACGAGTATAAACTATATCAACGTCGGGCGGTCTGAAACCCAAAGTCAACACCGAGCAATCCGTAACCCTAGGTCAACGCCGGTCAACGCGTAACCCTAGGTCAATGTTAGTCAATGCATTGCGATCAAAAGTCAACGTACGACGGTTCAAAACCCTAAGGTTGACGCCGGTCAATGCGTAGCCCTAGGTCAACGTTAGTCAATGCGTTGCGATCAAAAGTCAACGTACGACGGTTCAAAACCCTAAGGTCAACGCCGGTCAACGTGCAACCCTAGGCTAATGCCAGTCAACACGTTGCGACCAAAAAAAAGTCAACGTACGACGTTCGAAACCCTAGGGTCAACGTCGGTCAACGCGTAACCCTAGGTCAACGCCAGTCAACGCGTTGCGATCAAAAAGTCAACGCGAATCAATATATCATAACGGAGGTAGTCAGTTCAAAGTCAATTAGACGACACGAGCCAAACTCAACTCATCAGTTTTAGATTTGAGACTTCGACGACGGCCAGACGATAAACGCAACGCCGGAAGGATTTCAGCTATTCATCAAAGCGTCGAGTAGACTGAAAATCGAAGGAGTCAAGAATCGAAGCTAACTACAGGTCCTTTACGCCGACTAAAGGCTAGAACAATCACATCCAAAGTATTCCAGCCTCTTCTACAAAAGAAACGAGTCTGGAACGCTTTGGAGGGGGTATCTGTAGGCATCGAAAATTGCCTATAGGTCTCCACGAACAGCTCAGTGTTAAGAAATGACGATGAACGTCACCATTTGGTTCACAAAAGCTTGATTGATGTCGGTGAACGCTTAAAGTAAACCGACGAACTACGTGAAACAACGGAACTTCGGAATGATAAAGATACGAACTGATCGGGAACCTCGTATCGTTCACAAATGGCAAAATACCCTTCGTGTCTCATTTGTTCAACTGATGATATAATCATTGGAGCTTATAGAACTCTTCGTTAGCTTTCCAACGCACTTGGAATCACTCAAATCCAAGTTCGGACGAAGAATTTACGGCGGAAACAATCAAACAGGCATAACGGAGCGTCTCAGGCTGAACTGGGGCACCCGAGGTGTCTCGGCCCGGACGAGACACCCTTGGGTGTCTCGGCCAAGGCCGAGACACCCAAGGGTGTCTCGGCCTAGGTGTCTCGGCCCAGTTTGAGACACCCTGGGGTGTCTCCAACGCAGAAATGGCTTTTTAGGCTGTTTTAACCGCCCGAAACCCCCTGGAGCCTATAAATACAGCCCCGGGTCCTCATTTATTTCAGATCTGGAATTTTGGAGATTAGGCGAAGCCCTGCTGGATTAAAGACTGAAGGTGCATGGATTTCAGAGAGGAGGAGGAGAGATCGGATCGAGTTCTTCAACGCAAGAGAGAGAGATTCGTCAGATCTACAGTTTCCCGGATCCATTCCGTAGGATTATCCTGTTGCGGTAATCTTAAGAAGAGTGATTATCTCGCTTCGCCGAGATAAGAGCTACGGTTTCTCGATCCCTTCGCAGATAGACGAAGCTCTGCCCAATTTTTCAGCAATCAGATCTGATCGACGGTGGTCCACGGATAAACCCCGACACAGGCAAAGATACCACGCAAACAGAAGACTGATAAATGATCTCTGTGTTTGTTTGATAAAGTTGTAAAGTTTTTATTTTCATTGTGTAAGGAGATCTTATAAAAAGATCAACTTTTTTTTATTTTATTCGAATTTATTGTAACGACTAAAGTTGTAATAGATTCGATAACAATGGAAACATCAATTTTCACCGCAAACAACCTCTGTGATGTAAAATCAGCAGCAACAACTTAACAAACAACAAGAATATCGAGACATTGATCATTCTCGATTACGAAGTGGTATGGCGGATTTTAATAGGTTGACATCGCCTACCTTCGAAGGAAGTATTGATCCTATGGTAGCTGAAGACTAGATCACAGAAATGGAGAAAGTCTTTACTTATATGAAGTGTTATGATGGAGAAAATGTGGCTTATGCAATATATATTTTAAAAGGACGTGCATATGGCTGGTGGCAAATGCAGGAGAGGATTCTGGGAGATGGTGCTGACCAAGTATTTTGGGAAGAATTTAAGAAAGTTTTCTATAAGAAATACTTTCCAAAGACTGTTCACTAGCAGAAAGAGAAGGAATTCCGTGAGCTGAAGAAAAATGATAAGACTGTGGCTGAGTATGAGGAGGAATTTACCTATCTATCCAAGTTTGCACCCCAGTTTGTTGCAACTGAAGAAGATAGAGCATGTCATTTTGAGGAGGGTCTGCAACCTAATATTAAGTTTCAAATGAGTTCATTTGAACTCTCCACTTATGTAGCGGTATTGAAGAAAGCTTTAGTGATTGAAAGGAACGAAAAGAAATTTTCTCGGTTGATGATCGCAAGAATGATGATATGAAGAAGAGATTCAAATCGGACGGACATGGATGTCATAACAAAAACTGGCAAAACAAGAGACAAAATATGGATTCAAAAGAAAAGCAGACTATGAACCAGAAGTCGATGAGATGCATCATATGTGACAAGTCTAATCATGAAATAAATAATTGCTGGAGAGTTACAAGTTCTTGTCTGAGGTGTGACCAAAAGGATCACAAGATTGCAGATTGTCCTAAGTTGAATGAAACTCTAGGTCATAATACATCTCAACGTGATCAGCATCCTCAGATGAAGGCTCGAGTTTACTCTTTAACCGAGCAAGAGGCTCTAATAAATAATGATGTGGTGTCAGGTACTATACCTATATTTTCTACTTTTGCTCGAGTTCTATTTGATTTTGGAGCTTTGCATTCTTTTATTGCTGCACAATTTGTTAGAAAGTAAGGGTTGTCATGTGGTACACTAGAGCATGAAATATTTGTTAACACTCCAGGAGATAGCATACTAATATCTAATAAGTATTGCAAATGTAAGATAAAAATAGTGGATATGGAGCTTCCAGCGGAACTGATCATCCTTAATATGCATGATTATGACATCATTCTAGGAATGGATAGGTTATTTAGAAATTATGTATTTATTCTATGTCGAGAGAAAAGAGTGGTGTTTAGAATTCCCGATCAATCAGAGTTTTTCTTTGAGGGAAGGAAGGTGCAAAAACCTATGCGCATTATATCAGCCCTTCAAGCTCATCGCATGTTGAGAAGCGGGTGCACTGGTTTTCTAGCATCAGTACAGGTCTTAAACTAGAAAGAAGCTAGTCTGGATCAAATTCCTATCGTGCGTGAATTTCTCGATGTCTTTCCAAAAGATCTCCCCGGAATGTCACCCAAGAGGGAAATAGAATTTCTATTGAATTAGTTCCAGAGACAAGTTCGATCTCAAAGGCCCTTTATAGAATGGATCCAGTAGAACTAAAAGAACTTAAGGAGTAGTTGCAAGAACTTCTGGATAAAGGGTTTATTAGACCCAGTGTTTCACCTTAGTGCGCGCCGTTGTTATTTGTGAAGAAGAATGATGGTAGCATGTGATTATGTATTGATTATCGAGAGCTCAATAAGGTGACTATATGGAATAAATATCTCTTACCAAGAATTGACGATCTGTTCGACCAATTGTAAGGAGCTCAGATGTTTTCCAAGATCGACCTGCAATCGGGCTATCATCAATTGAAGATTAAGGCTAAATACATTCCAAAGACTGTATTTTGTACCCATTATAGTCATTATGAATTTTTTGTGTTACCATTTGGGTTAACGAATGCACCTGTATTTTTCATGGATCTCATGAATAGGGTGTTCAAGCCTTTCTTAGATCATTTTGTGGTGATATTTATAGATAATATCTTGATATATTCGAAGAACCAGAAGGAGCATGAGGAACATCCACGGCGTGTGCTCAGTGTTTTGAGAAAGGAAAAAACGCAATGCAAAATTTAAGAAGTGTGAGTTTTGGTTAGATAATGTGTCTTTTCTAGGACATGTTATTTCGAATGATGGAGTATCACTAGATGCAGTAAAAATTAAAGCAGATGTGAATTGAAAAAGACCAACAAATGTTCATAAAATTCGCAGCTTTCTTGGCATAGTGGGTTATTATCGGAGGTTTGTAGAAGGATTTTCTCGTATTACCTCACCTTTGACCCATTTGACTCAAAAGGGAATCAAATTTGTTTGGTCTGAAGGATGTGTAATGAGTTTTCAAGAGTTAAAGAACAAACTAGTATCTTCACCAATTCTCAATATACCAATTGTAGGAGAAGATTTTACTTTGTATAGTGATGCCTCTCATAAAAGTTTGGGATGTGTGCTCATGTAAAATGGAAAAGTGGTAGCTTATGGTTCTCGACAATTGAAACATTATGAGCAAAATTATTCAATACATAATTTAGAGTTGACGACTGTTATTTTTATCTTAAAAATTTGGAGACATTATCTTTATGGAGTGTATTGTAAAATTTATACTGATCACAAGAGTTTAAAATATATTTTTACTCAAAAAGAGTTGAACATGAGGCAAAGGAGATGGTTAGAGCTACTTAAAGATTATGATGTTAGTATTAATTATCACCCAGGGAAAGCAAACGTAGTTGCTGACGCCCTTAGTCGAAAGAGTAAGATAGCTTGTCTTATTACTCGAAAAAGACATATATTAGAAGATTTGGATCGGTTGAGAATTGAGATTCGATGTCAACAACCATCGGTCGAATTGAATAACATCCAGGTACAGCCTGCTCTGGTTGATGAGATTAAGATCACCTAAAAAGATGACTTGGATTTGAAAGTCATCCGAAAAGGAGTGGAAGATGGTAAACAACCAGATTTTGTAATACATGATGACAGATCCCTTATGTTTAGAAATAGACTCTGTGTTCCGAATAATTCATAATTGAAGAAGAAGATTTTGATGGAGGCTCATCGTTCTGGATATACAATGCATCCTGGTAGAACCAAAATGTACAAAGATTTGAAAGAGATATACTAGTAGAATAATATAAAGAGAGGTATTAGCAAATATATTTCAGAGTGTAAAATATGTCAGCAAGTGAAAACAAAGCATCAGAGACCAGCCGGATTAACTCAAAATCTTGACATACCAATGTGGAAGTGGGAGAAAATTACAATGGATTTTATTACAGGGTTGCCAAGATCTGCAAGAGGTAACAATGTTATATGGGTCATAGTGGACCGTATGACTAAGTCAGTTCACTTCTTGCCAATCAATATGAAGTTCTCATTGGAAAAGCTTGCGAAGTTGTACATTGCTGAAGTAGTTAGGCTTCATGGTGTTTCAGTGGAGATAGTCTCTGATAAAGATCCTAGATTCGTATCGGAGTATTAGAAAGGTGTGCACAAAGTTCTTCAGAGTAAACTCTATTTTAGCTTAGCTTATCATCCACAAATGGATGGCCAATCAGAGAGAACAATTCAAACTCTCAAGGATATGTCAAGATGTTGTATCCTTGATTTGAAAGGATCATGAGAGGAGCATTTACCAATGGTAGAATTTGCATATAACAATAGTTACCAGTTAAGCATTAAGATGGCATCGTATGAGGCTCTATATGAAAGGAAATATTGTTCACCTATACATTGGGATGATGTTGGAGAAAGAAAACCTCTTAGACCTGAGTTAGTGCAACAAGCTATAGACAAGATTTACTTAGTAAGAGAGCATATTCGAAATGCACAAAGTAGACAGAAGAGTTATGCTGATCAGAGAAATAAAGACTTAGAATTTCAAAATGGTGATCATGTATTTTTAAAGGTGTCCCCTAGAAGAGGTGTGAAAAGATTTGTAATCCGAGGAAAGTTGAGTCCAATATTTGTGGGACCGTTTGAAATTCTTCAGTGTGTTGGTGAAGTCGCCTATAGGCTTGCTTTACCGTCTTCTTTGGCCAGAGTCCACAATGTGTTTCATGTATCTATGTTGAGGAAATTTATTCGAGATCCAGATCAAGTTATAGAACTAGAACTCATTGAGCTAAAGGAAGACTTAACATATGAGGAGCACCCGGAATGTATTGTAGATCATAAGGAACAAGTGCTCAGGAGACATGCTATTCGATATGTGAAAGTTCAATGGAAGAACCACTCTGCAAGAGAAACAACATGGGAACTTGAAGATGAGATGTGGCAGAAGTATCCTCAACTTTTTTAGAACCAATGTACGTAACGTTTCGAGGATGAAATTTTATTTAAGGTGTGGAGGATGTAGAGAACCGTTTTTTTTAATTATTTGATAAATGAAAAAGAAAATCAAATGTTTTGTAACTCTAGCTCTAACTCATGTTTCAATTGGGTAATTTAATGTGTTAAATAGGAATAAATGTGATAGGAGTTATAGAATACAAAGGGACTTTGAAAACCCTAAGTAAATCAATCCCTCATAGTTTCATGCAACAAAAAAAAGAAAATGATCTAGAGAGTACGGAGAGAAGAAGAGGTAGGATTAAGCTTCAAAAGGTTAGTGATTCAATTTTATTTCTTTACTAATTAGTTATGAATAGTTGTAGAATGAAAAAAATACATTTCTGACCACCGGTGTTGATTCCGGCGACCTCCGATCTTTCATGTGGGCAAGGGCTTCACCGGTGATGGCTATCATGCCACCAAACCAACTTTGGGTTGGTTGGGTTTAAATAGAGAAATGATCAGACCCAAGGAAGAAGATAAAGGAAAATTTATCCAAGGCCCCTTAGAGTTTTGAGAATTTGTTTTAAGTCCAGAACCTATGAAAGGATATTTCTACATAAAATCTATTTAATGGAAAGATTTTTCTTTTGACCCACTAAACTAGAAAAGTTGCTGTTAGGCCCAAGTTCTATTTAAAAAGGATAGAAATAAATTTTAGAAACCCCCCTAGAAACTAAAAATATTAGTTTTATACCCAAAATAGTTTGAGTATGAAATCTTTAGTTTTTATGCATCTTGTATGATTATAGGTTTGATCGAGAGTAGGTTCTTAGAGTACGGTTCTCCAAATTGTTATCAAATCTCTTGAGGTGAATAGATTTCTTCTCATTAGTTGTTTTCTATTATATATTATTTAAATAATAATTTATTTTTGTGTAGAGAAATTATGGATTAGACATGTTATTATGTTCATTATTAGTAATTGTTAACAAATTTAAATTGTGATAGCTATTTATCTTTTATAAGGTAAATATTATTTTAGTATATGAGATTATTAAAAATATATCAATTTAAATTTACTGTTCAAATGCATTTATTAAAGAGTTCTATTTGACAAAAATAAATTATCTATTCGTTTAGATTCATGAGTATTCTACTTTCATGAAATTGATATGAGAAAAGTTTGTAAAAGTGTTTAAGCATTTATATTGCTTTCCATACTAGTGAAAATTATGAGTGATATTTTAAGCAAAAAGAAAAGTGTTTTAAATGTCAAAAATCCTCATAAGTCCGCTTATGGAGTGAAGGTTTAAGCCTACCATAT